TATCCAGAAAGGAAGGCCCATTAATACTGATTTCCAATTACCCACCAAAGAGTATGGAAAGTAGAGCTATGGCTCAAGTGGCAGAGTGCCAGCTTTGAAAAAATGCTAGAGGGACAGTACTCAGTTTAAGCTCCAAGATTGTCACACACACATAAAATCATGATGAATGCTTTGCTGGACAAAATTCAACAAAGGAATGATCAATTGGAGTGCTAATCCCTAGACAGGAAGCTACAAAGATTTACAGAATGTTAGAAAAGCAGACAATAGGGCTGGGAAGGTGACTCAGTGGTAGAGCGCTTGCCTTGCATGCCTGAGGCCCTGGGTTCGATTCCTCAGCACCATATAAGCAAAAAGAAAAAAGCCGGAAGTGGCACTATGGCTTAAGTGGTAGAGCGCTAGCCTTGAGCTGAAGAGCTGACAGACAGCGCCCAGGCCCAGAGTTCAGGCCCCACGACCGGACCCAAAAAAAAAAAAAAAGAAAAGAAAAGAAAAGCAGACAATAGCAATGACCAGATAATGACTATATTGGCCTTTTGTTTTTCTGAAACTATAACATATTGAGGACTAAGTATGACTTTGTTTTGAATGTATGATTTAAGAACAGCTTGGTAATTATGTGACACAACACAGCAGTTCCTAGAGAAGTTAAAACATCGAAGTAGCTGATTTGTGGGGAAAAGTGAAACCAAAGGAGTATGGGGAAAGGAATACTGGAAAGTGCTTTTATTCTTGAGAGAAAGTGGCAGTGGACATGGGAATGTATTCACACATCCTGGGAACTTTTTCCTGATGTATGTATTTGGATGTACTTCAAATAAACCCAGATCTTAGTTATGCTATTTCTCCTTTCATACCCTGAGACTCGCTGCCTTAAGCCTATGCAAAGCCAAGTAATAGCAAAATACTTTCAATGTATCCCATCTAGAGATGATCTGAACTTTGGGATTTTCCCAGGCTTTAATTAAGTTTACCCTGTTTTTTGTTTGTTTGTTTTTTGTCGGTCATGGGGCTTGAACTCTGGGCCTGGGCGCTGTCCCTGTGCTCTTCAGCTCAAGGCGAGCACTCTACCGCTTGAACCACAGCCACTTCCGGTTTTCTAGTGGTTTATTGGAGATAAGAGTCTCACAGACTTTCCTGCCCGAACTGGCTTTGAACCGCGATCCTCAGATCTCAGCCTCCTGAGTAGCTAGGATTACAGGCGTGAGCCACCGGCACCTGGCTTACCCTGTATTTAAAGTGGTAAAAGGAAGCCAACAGAACCAGAGAATCATCAGAAACTATCTGAAAAGAAACAAAAAAATCAATTTGTCTCAAAATTTTAGAACAAAGTTAATCAAATGTCCTGATAAGAACCATATCGATTTTGCAGACCTAGGATGTTTTAACCCAAAGAACAAGGTGGTCTAGAAGGTAATCTGTAACCATTTCTCAGGCCCATTCCCAGCTAGCTTTGATGAGAAGAATGTAAGCCTTTGCCACCAAAAGGACAGCTTCCTTTCAGTAGGGACCTTTCACTGATGGTTAGAGTACTTTCTAGATTCCTTGTATTACTTTATCACTTTGGTGACCAATTGCAAAACATGGTGAGCTTGACTCCTTAGCAACCAGGAGAAGGAACAACTCCTTCGGTTGGAATAAAAATCCATTAGACCACCCTGTCCAGTGTGCCTGCCTGGGGAGAGAATGGCAGACCACCCTTCTGTACAGAAGCAAAATGGCTTGATGAAATCTCCCGTATTTCGTGTGTCTATTCACTTTCTGACACCAGAGGGCTGACTGTGTCTTCCAACATTTACAAGTCAGTTGGTAGGAGCAGCAGTGCTGTGTAACTGGTGGGCTTTACCCCAAAATGCCCTGGAAGAGGGGTGCAAGTATGCAGCGACCAAGTCCTACACCATGGCGGGTGATGGCCAGGGAATTCTCACAGCATAGTGATTGTGGTCGCACTTGATCTCGCAGGCCAAGGACTTCCAGTGCCTGGCACACAGTAAGGCACCAAAAACACTGCTTGTAGAATTGGGGCCATTTGCTTCTCAGGAGCCACAAAGGTAGGAAGCAAGTAAACTAAATGGAAGAAAGTGCAAAATGACTTTAAAAGAGACACCAATAGTAGGAGAAAAAGGAGGGCATAACAATGCACAACAAGAAATGTACTCATTACATTACTGATATAACTGTGACCTCTCTGTAGAGCATCTTTACAAGAAAAAAAAAATTTTTTTTAAAGCAACACCCAGGGAAAAAGAGCCTTTAGGGAACAGAAAAAGAAAATAGGTCTGGCACTAGGGTAAGGATATACTATGTGTGGGAGGGGGTAGAAGAGCGAGAGAAAGAGAGAGGGAGGAAGGAGACAGCTGAAGCACTACAGCCAAGCTAAGAATGTGGGGGAAAGCAGTGGGAAACGACCCAAGATGAGTAGGCTTAAAGCTGATAGAAGATAGGAGGGAGAGGGAATAGGTGCTGAGTGGACTCATGATAGAATGGACATAGCCAAAGCTGGAAAAGAGAATCTAGGATTATAGAACAGAAGGAGATACAGAGAAAAAACGCCCCTGGGAAGAACCAGCATTGCTCAGGCAAAATAACAAAAATCAAGCAAAAAATTTAAAAAAAAAACAACAGAAAACAACAAGAAGGAAAAAACACAAAAAGACTTGGAGATAAGACAAGGAAAAACGGAGGAAGAGCGCTGCCCATTGGAAAACGGAACTTGTAGGAGAAAGAGAGAGAGCCTGAGGCCTGGAGCTACACTCTACAGCTCAATAGAGCTATCCCAGCCTCTGTGGGCTCGTTTGCAATTGTCCCTCTAGTCTGTCCATGGGTGTACCTGGAAGAGGAACTGGAGGAGGCTGACCCAGGACCTCAAGACAGTTCCTTTTCCCCAGCCTCCACTGGATAGAATCTTCAAAGCAGAATGCATTTTTTTTTGCACTATGGCTTAATTGGTCACCCCTGCCTAGTAAACAGAGTATGGTTTGATTTGCCCTTGTGTCATGTTTTACTAGACAAGCCTTGGGATCTCTGGTGTTCCTTCTGCTCTTGCCTATAGCACACAGGAAATTGTCAGATCCCTCACATGGCCCCTAATCCACTTATGAGTTCAGAAAATCTGGTTTGTTAAGGGCTTGACACAAAAGGCCTTTACTTACTGTCTGCCGTTGAGCTGAACACTCACTCCATCTGTCTCCAGGACATGTTAGACACATAGGAAAAGTACCAGATAACTATCAAAAGATGGACATTTCCTTGAATAGATTTTACATTCTTTGAGTTGTCTGCATCTGTGTATTCAGGTTTCAGGACATGTGTCCTCCGTGTTCATATGTAGAGCTCCAGCCCAGCCAATCATAAAAGTGGTCATTGCTGAAATTGGGAACTAGCTCCAGTTCTTTCATGACCTAACATGAGTAGAATGGAGCACTAGCCTGGAAAGACTGAGAGCAGGAGTGTGAAGATCCATCTGAAGAGTGTGATATATGCCACTGTTTGAAATAAAATTCAACCCCACCCCCAGCCAAAGGTTCACTAATTTGTCCCATTTCTGGAGCATAATAGTGCTTCTAGGACTCTAAGAATCACATTTTGAGTACCACATCTGATATAGCACACAAGGGGTTAGAGGGAAGTTTTGCTAGCTTCCACTGAGGAACCTATGGGAGTAGAGTTCACTTTTTGGTTATTGGAGAGCTCCACTGATCTCTTCTGGGAACCCACCTGAACACAGGTTGAACAAAACTGTCTTTAGTCCTTCTGGGTCTGAGTCAGGGCTTCCTTTGCACTTGATGAAATAGGAAAATGTGGTTTGATTGCAGAAGTGTTGGGAAGGATGGAGCTTTGTCCCAAACTATTCCCTCTTTATCCCATGAGGTCACATTTAACAAGGGAAAAAGCAAGGCTTAAGATGTAAATAGCCTCGGTGAGAGCTAATACTTTGTTACATTCTTCTATTCTAAGCAAGAGACTGTATGTTAGAGTTTTTTTTAAATAACTCCAAAAATAGAAAAGCATAGTAGATTCCTAAACTTAGAATTCCCTTTTGATATTTTGTCTAGAGAAAACATGGAGATGCTTTTTATTTAAAGAGGAAAGGGTGTTCATCAAAGTAAAGGGAGTTGAGTGGAAGATGAAAGTTTCAGGTAGAATCCACATGGGATCATTGAAATTTATTCATATACATCTGATGGCTGTTGCTTCTTTTATTATTTGTTCAAGGGAGGTGGTGTTGGACCGAGGTAGAGAAGACAGTAGTACACAAGAAATGACTCAAAGGCTCACCCCTTCCACAGAAGGCCCTTAGACTCCAGGATGCATTTCAGCTGGGTTCTGTAACTGTACCAATACTTTGAGGCTTCACTTTCTATTTATACAATCACCAAGTCAGAGTAAAATCTGGAGGCTAACATGTAGTTATGTGAGAGGTATAATCCAATAGTATAGAACATCATTTCCCACAAGTCCCTAGTTTATGAGGAGCTGGGTTTGTCAGCATCTCAGATCCTCCTTTAAAACTGAAGAGTAGAATGTAAGCAATGTCTTCTAGTCATTAGAGATCAGACTCTGTCCTCATATTTTGTTCATCTGGCATATTCATCCGTAAATATTTAGCGACCTTGGCCTTGTAATTTTGACACAGATATACAATAACCATACTGAGTCAGGGCTAATTCCATTCTTTGACCCTCAGTTCAATGATTCCATGAATGGGCTCTAAACTTGCTACATGTGTATGCAAAACTGAGTGAATTGCATCATCTGCTTTTCTCAAAATTAGGCTTCTGGTCAGCCACCAGTGGCTCATGCCTATAATCCTAGCTAGTCAGGAGGCTTGAGATCTAAGGATCAAGTTTCAAAGCTAGTGTAGGCAGGGAAGTCTGTGAGACTAGTATCTCCAATTAATCTCCAAAAAGCCAGAAGTGACACTAAGGCTCTGGTGATAGAGCACCAGACTTGAGTGAAAAAGTCAAGTAAGAGTCCAAGGCTCTGAGTTCAAGGCCCATTAACGGGAAAAAAAGACAGTGGGTTTCAGGTTTTTTTCATATTTTCAAATGGGACTGTGACCCAAAACATTGTTATACATAGCCTAATACAGAGCTGATCTGTATTAAGGCAGGATAATAAAACAAATGGTATAATGCTGTTTTCAGTTTTAACACTGAAATCCAATATTTACTTATTCCCCTAGACATCTCATAATACTGATCCTAAAACACTGTCTCTGGAACCTAGGGTAAAGTCAGCTTGCAAAGGGCTGGCCAGAGAAACACATCCCAGGCCAAGTGCATTGCAGGCTGCTCTCCATAGCTGGAGGGAGGTAGGAGCTGGACTACTAGAAGAAAAAAGCACAGTTAGCAACATGAACACATTTTCTATTCCATTTGAGCCCAGAATTCTGAGAAGCTGTGATTCACCCAGTTATTCCTGAGTATATGAAACAGTCAATAAAGGAGATTCATGCAATTCACTTCCTCTTGCATTTCTGGCTAATTCCTTCAATTGCGTTTGCGACATAAGTGTCTTAGGGAAAATACAAGAATCTAAAGAGAAAAAATTCCATTTTTATCCTCTTTGCTTCTCTTATTCCCTAGTCCCAAACTGTTCTTCTATACAAGATGGATTTTAAATCCTAAGATTTAAAATCATCAATAAATAGAAATAATAATCTACTTATCAACTAACAAGATGCCAGAATACTTCTATCAGCCCCAGTATAAGATGCCTTATACTTAAGAATCTTGGTGTGAACAGTTTCCCAGAATTGGGTGGGAAACTAGTCAGAAAGCTTATTGCCCTGCATCAGCTGATAAACGAAGCCAACAGCCTTTTCCCTTCAAGTTCAAACTCTCAGAGAATGAGATCCTCAAAAATAACTCTTCCCCCATAGAAAGAACCAAATCCAAACAAGAGTATAGTATGATAACAAGTTCCAAACACTGTTACTCCTGTCCTAATTTCCCAGCACTTAAAACAAGACAAGACTGAAAACCTCACTCAGCACAAACCTATATATGCACCTTGCCCGAAATCCACAAGACACAGCTTACCTCATTGAACTTTTCTTTCTCTCTCCCCCCCCAGGTAACAATTGTCAGCCCAGAGATTCAGACTTTGACACATAAGTCCACAATTGTCTGCATCTGAGAAATACTAGAGAAAACTTTGTACACAACTCATCATTTGACCATTTCTACTTAGGGGCCTCTTTAATCACGCAGATTACTTCCTATCTTGAAAGGAAACAAAAACCACACACACAAGCCCTACTACCTCATCCCTAGAACACAACCCCAAGAAAATCTAGCTTGTACAGTTTTCACTGAGCATGCTCTCTTCAAAGATCCTGCACACGTATACACAGACACATAAAGACAGACTAGAGGAGAGGGGTCTGTTCAAGGGGGTAAGGTTTTTCATCTGTGTGGGCCTGGATTACTTGGATGTAGAGGGTCCATCTTTGAATACTGTCACATGATGATACCTGTATGTGCTGAAGGGAATAGGAAAAAGGGAGTGAACTATCACTGGTTTTGGTTTTGGTTTGTAAGCAGGTAGGGGTGAGAGGTATCCTGTATATGATGGGAGAGGGATGACGGACCCACACAGGAATAACATCTGCCCCAACTTCCATGTGGATAAAAATGGGGGCTCTGATCGTTATCTCTTTCCTGTTTCCTCATTACTTTCTAATCCAGTGTTCAATGGAATATATTTATGAAGTCACCAGTTCTGTGGGACACGAAACAGAAAGGACACGGAGGCCAGGTAAATTTAGCAAACACTGCATTAATAGACGCTAAGCAGTTTGCTGCAGGTGTTCTCAGAGCCTCTGCTATGTTAAATGGATTTTCTCTATATACCCATTGTATATAGAGAGGGTATAATTATAATTATTAGAAAAGGGTGATATACAAAATATTTAACCACCCGTATGACATAGACTTCAGCCAATAAGAATGGACCTCAGCCCCTATCTGCTGGCTTCACTGAACCCTTGATAATAGGCTCAGGTCAAACAATAGCCCCTGTAGTATGCATAGTTTCCCAACATTTTGTCCAAAGAACTCTGTTTTTTATGGTCAGCTCACAGAACTGGTGAGAAGTGCTCTATCCACTGCTGGCACATCACCCTCTACACATAGGGTCAGAGCTCACAAATCTGGCCATGGGAATACAGGAGAGGGGCAGCCCTGGCAGTGACTACTGGTAGCACCGGCTGGTAAGACTTGATCATAGCTGCAGCGGAAGCACATTTCAAAAGACAGATGCCCCTCTGTCCCAAGTGCTCCGGGGACTTTGTCCCTGGTGGGTCAGCAGGTGCCTGTCCAGGTGGTGCTTCCGGCCAAAGCTCTTCTCACAGCGAGGACACTGGAAGGGTTTCTCCCCAGTATGAGTCAGCCAGTGTCTCACGAGGTGATGCCTTCGGCCAAAGCTCTTCCCACATTCTGTGCACACGTGACATTTTGGCACTGGGGGGGCGCGCTGCCGTTTCCGAGCCCCGGGGCCCTCTTCATCCTCTTGGCCCTTACAGGATTTGCCTTCTGCATGCACTCTCTGGTGGCTGGCCAGATGGGCACTGCATCGGAAATTCTTTCCACACTCAGAGCACCTGCTGGGCTTGTCGTGAAGGTGGGTTTTCTGATGCCTGATCAGATGATGTCTTCGCCCAAAGCTTTTCTCACACTTGAGGCAGCTATAAGGTCTCTCTCCGGTGTGTGTTTGCTGATGCCTGGCAAGGTGGGAACCCCACACAAACTGTTTCCCACACTGAGGGCAAGTATGGGGTCTTAACAGGGAATCCATCTCTGTGCTGCACAAAAGGTTTGAGAAGCTCTCTTCCTGGAGGAAAGGGGGGCCCAGGAGCATTCCTCTAGAGCTCCTGGGTGTGGATTCCCAGCTCTCATTCTCCTCCGGGTTCCAGAGAACAGTATCTTCAGACACACTGGACAGCATTCTCGGGGGCTCTGCTTCTAGTTCAGGGGTATCCCCCTCATGTTCACTTCCATCTCCTGTGAAGAAGGGAAGATATAAACCCTAAAAGGAGGAGTCACAAAAGACTACCCACAGGACCCAAGACACAAGTATGCATGATGCCATACAGGTTGTATGAGGCCCCGCCTCACTCCTAAAGGAGTAGAGAATATCTTGTAATTAATGTACAAGATAGAGTGATAGGTACAGAAGTTTTCAAAAGCCTAGGCTTAAAAGCAGAGTAGTAGAGTAGTAGATACTCCACTTACTTTCCTTAGCCTTCATTTCTTCTTTAAAACAGAAATAACAACACTTCAATAGCACAATGTCTGCTCACAATAAACACGCAGTAAATGATTTATGCTATTTTTTTATTTATATACTACTGTTCATTTACGGCTGTCCATTACTATGAGTCACCAACTTCCTGCCTAAGTATAGAAGTAGAGACTGACTGAAGGAATGTGCTCCAATCATCACTGGCTGGGGGCCACCTGTCAGCAATTCCAGGGACATTGAGAAGTCATCCCTGCAACCAGTAGGAGGTGGAACAACAGTTTCAACAATAACAATCACATTTACCAAGTGCTTATTTTGGGCTAGGCATATAATTCCACTGTTCTAATGTGCTAACATATTCAATTCTGACAATAACTTATAGATGAAGAAACCTAAGGTTCCACCTGCACATTCCAGAACCCAAATCCATGACTCCAGTGCCTGCCCTCTGACCCTTTCTGATATTCTGTCTTCCTTTTGGAAGAATAGGATCCTGAAATCTTTTGATTAGAGGGACATGTAATGAGGATTCCCCCAAGAGAGGAAATGAAAGTTTATTCTGGGTCCTCACCAGTGTATGTGACCTTCAGTATATCTCGCTCCTCTAAGTCCTGGGGATCAGGGACCCATTGCTCTTCTCCTCCTTCTAGTTGAGAAAGCATGTCCAGTTTGGGAATTGGAAATCCTGCCCACAGTAAAAGAAAACAGAGATGTCTGTAAGTTCAACAGTACTTCTATGTCTATGAAAAGAAAAACAAACACTGTTTCCTAGCTTAGTCATTGACACTCAAGGTAAAATAAGGCCAAATAACAAGCCTTCTGACCCCTACCATTCTGTTAGGTGTCTCTTCTTTGTCCTAGAAAAATCCAATTCTTTTACCTCTTCCACTCAAATCTTTCCAGTCCTTGCTAGTCATAACCTTAGTTATGTCCTACTTTTTTGTTTTACTATAACTGTCTCACCCCTGCACCCCCATCTTCCCCTATATGGTTCCCAAGTTTCCAAGGACCTAGATCCAGAGGTTCCTTTCTTTGCTCTGTAAGAATGTCACAATTCCCAACTAAGGTGTGTTTTTTGTTTGTTTTATGAGTTACCCCTCACCACCATTCTCTAAAGTAATTCTGGTGTTCTTCCTCTGATGGAAGCCTACACAGATTCCCTAGAAGATCTCTAGGCAGATACTTCCAAGAGCCGTAAGCAGAAGGCTCCTCCCTCCCAGGGTACAACCTGTCTGTAACTAAGGAAGGCCATGCTTACTCAGAGAGACTACTATTCCACAATTTTCCTGCATGACATATTCTCCATAAAAGTCTGTCTGAGAGGGGTCCAGGCTCCGCCACTCCTCCTGAGAGAAGCACAGTGACACATCCTTGATGGTTACCAGGCCCTGAAACAGAGCATCATCTGTCAGCAGCTGTTCCTTATGGAAAATGTGATCTCAGTATGAAAGGCTGAGATAGTAGAAGAGAGAGGGCCAAAAGGATCTTGGGAAATAACTTCCCAGGTTGCTGCACAGGACACACAGTTTGGGTAAAGGCAAGATGAGGAAAGGAAGGAAGAAAGAAATGAGTTAAAATGTTGTCAGGCACCTTGTATTCACATACGTTTTGTAGAACGGGAACTTCTTTGTACGACTACTTAAAGGTAATAATAATAAAAGAATGTAAAAAAAAAGGAGAAATGAGTCAAGCAGTGAGAGAGGGGAATGCTGTGTGCAACAGTGAGAAGTCACAGGCTCACCACTCTGTATGTCTAACCACAGGTATCTACTCAGTCTCTTCTTACCTGCCTCATTCTGTTCATTCCAAGAAAGTCTGTATCATCTTCACCTGCCTCCACTTATCCTTTCCTTTCCTAGCAATACAAAATGATAGAAACAACATTTTCTTTCCCACCTCCCTCTTATGCTAGAGCCTTATCTCTTCTGGTGACACAATATGGTGATGTGGTAATTGGGTCTAGATTTTGGAACCTAATGACTATGCATTTTGGCACATCGAGGCAGAATACTGTTGTACAGGAATCTTAAGCTGTCTCTGCTCTGATTTTCTAACTATAAATTGGGAGGATTGAGTTGTTCTCAGAAAAAGCACTTGAAAAGAGCAAACAGGACAAGGACTCTGGAAGTGTAGGTACAGATTATAAGCATTACTGCTTTTCCATGGCTAGTCTTTTCCCTTCTGAATCTTCACTAACCTGTCTCTCTTTAGGGATTTCTTTTTCTCTTATGCTTTATCACTTTCACAATTCTGTCATTTTCATATTCTTCCAAACTTCCTTAGGTTCTCTTTTCCTAGTCTTTGCAGCATTACTTTTTTGCTATTTCTTTTGTCTTATGTTTAGTTTTACTTTTCAACACAGGCTCACACTATGACACCTACACTAGCCTCAGACCACCAGTATGCCACACCATGCTTGGCTTCAGATTTATTTCTTAAAGATAGCTAATCAATTGTTCTTTAAAAATCCCACCTGTGGATAACACAGCCACACATCAAAAGCTCTAAGGGTCTTATGTGCCCCTGGGAAAGGGATAGAAGCTGTACCATTATAAGATGAGCATACCATCAGTATGCATGTGAACTAACACATCAGTGGAATGATGCCAAAGCTATAGAAGGGCCTTTGTGATGAGACCTTGGGAGAGGCCAAGGGAAACACAGCCCACCTGTGATCCGGCTGCAAGAAGTGCAGCTGCCATTTCCCAGTCTCCGGTGCTCCCCTCCTGGGGAATTGCAGGAACCCAGGGAGCAGACTGAGCTGGTGAGGGGAGAGAGGAGCCATTAGAGATGAACTATGAATCCTTTTCCAATATGTACCTTAGTCCCATTTTACAGGAGCTGAAGGTCTCATCTTCTGCTACATCTATGCCCATAAGCATAAATAAGAACGAAGAGGAAAGTGGCACTGTGGCTCAAGTGGTAGAGTACTAGCCTTGAGCAGAAGAGCTCAGGGACAGTACCCAGACCCAGAGTCTAAGCCCTACAACCAAAAAAAAAAAAAAAAAAAAATTGAAGAGGCCTTCACTCAAAATGTTCTGCGAGGGTTCTAGGTGGCTCTTAGGTATATAAACTGTGGTTTGAATTTACATTACTTGAATGTAATAGAATTTTCAGCAAATGAAACTTACTGGCTGTATTCTCCAACAGTAATCAGTCCAGATACCACTTCCATCTCCCACATTTAACACTACTAATGTAGAAACAGTGATTATGTAAGAAACAGGAACAGTCCAGTCACATTGTTCGGAGAGCCAAGAGCCTATTCTGTATTTGAGAAAAGGACCCGGGAAGAATGGACTGGTCCTAGTATTGAGTTTGCTGCTCTGTCCGTGACAATTTATGGATTTTCTTTTGTAATCCTACTTTCTGAACAGAGATCAGGAGACTATGCCCTGTGCTTCCCATGCATGCTGTGGATCCTCACTTTTCTCTTGAAGGGACTGTGGCTCCTCTTCAAGGTTGTGACACGGGTGCTCCAGTGGCCCTGGTGCAGTTCTCCATGTCCCTTCTTCCAGGCTTCCCCTTTCTTCATGGGGCGCTGCTCCATCCAGTTGTACATTCATTGACTCCCATCCTGTCCCCAGGGCTGTTGTCTGTTCTGAAAGCATTTTTGTGGCAAGTCAAAGTTTGTGACCTGGAAGAAAGCAATGAAATCAATAACAGCTCTTTCCCATGAAAGTGAAAAGGGAGTGATATTCCTAAAGAAGTTAAAGAGATCAGCCCCAGGGATAAAATATGAAACTAGGTTAAGAGGAGACTGAGGGAAGATGAGCTCTAAAAGTTTGATCTGTTCCAATCAACTGAGCCTGACTTAAGCTTCTTGGAGGAACTAAGAAACCGCAGGTGCTAGCTGTGAGCCATTGGCTTATATTGTAATCCTAGCTACTCAGAAAGCTAAGATTCAGAGGACTGCAGCCCAAAGACAGCCCAGGCAGAACAGTCCATGAGAATTTGTCTCCAAAATAACCAACTGGAGGTGTGGCACAAATGATAAAGCAAGAAAGCCAAGCAAGCATGAGGCCCTGAGTCCCTACCATGCACACACACACACACACACACGTGCACAATACACACACACACACACACACACACACAGATAAGTGGAAAGAAGGAAGAAGAAAGAAAAAGAGAAGTAGAAGGAAGGAGGGAGAGAGACAGGAATAAAGAAGGAAGAAAGAAAGGAAAAAAGAAAGAGAAATGTTAATGCTATGTAAGAGTCACTGTTACTTTGGGACCTCAAGGAAAAAACAGAATATCCTTGAAGGCTGGGAAAACTCCCTTAAAGAACCACTGAAAGTACAGAAAGGTAATAAAACTGGAAACAACACAGGAAAGAATGCACTCAGAACTGCCCTCAACAAAGATGGGCATATCATTTATAAGATTTTCTGCCATAAATCACATTCTCATCAATTAAAGTGAGATAATTACTACAGGAAGAAATCTTGGCCAGGGGATGTACTGTATCATAAAGAAACAGCTTTTTAAAGAAATTGTAATGCTGAAATAAATGGTATCTCACTCAACAAAAAGACACATGATGTGTCATTCTCAGGAGAACCTTTATAGACATGGTAAAAGACCAGTAACTCAGAGAGCTGGTATAAATCTCTGAAACAGCCCTTGCAGATAAAAGAAGTTGTTGGTCAGCACACAGCTAAAGTTTCATCAGAAAAAAAGTGAAAAAAGAACTTGGAACAGGGATAGTAAAGGAGGAGTAGGGCTGTTAACCTGAGCTAGGATGAATGAACAGCCCAGTGCTTTGAGACAGAGGAACAAATTTGTTTGACAGGCAGGCACTAGTCATATCCCATTAGAAAAAATATATTCAATTTTAAAGAAAGGTATAGGAAGCCAGCAAGTGTTCTTTGGAAGAAAGTAAAGTCAAGAAAGGGATAAGAAATTCAGCGAGATGGAAATGATAAAAACAACAGACACCATTTTCTCTTGTTTCAGAAGAAGGCTGATGAGTGGAGTTATTGATGGATGTCACTCTACTGATCAAACAGAAGAAATGACTTTTCACTTCTCTCTTGTAAAAGGGAAGAGAGTTAGTTTAGATGAACAAATTCTTAATAATACTACAGTACATAAGACTGAGTTGTGGACTCTATTTTCTTCAGACATTTGTAGAGCAGGACAGGTCTCATTTGAGAAAGAGTCTAACATTATGCAGAATTTTTTTTCGCTTGACAACATATTTTTATGCTTCTTATTCAATACTCAAGAATTGAACCCATAAAAGATTTCCAGGGACAGGTTAGAACAGGTCCCGGATCCATCCACTCAATAACATCTGCAAGAACTCAATAGGGCATAACAGATGCGAAGTCATTTGTTTCCTGGCATACCTGTCTTCAATAAAAGAGGTCTGAAGGAATTCCAGGCCTAATGCAAAGACTGAAGAAATTCCCTTGTCATCTCAGAAGTCCAGAGATGGTTCCAGGCCTGATGGAAGCATCTTAGCTGAGGTTTCCTCTTCAGAGACTTCTCATGTTAAAGGAAAATCTCAATAACGAAATAATAAGGGAGTGGCTCAGTAGTAGAGTGCTTGCCTTGCATGCACGAGGCCCTGAGTTCGATTCCTCAGCACCACATAAACAAAAAGAAAAAAACTGCAAGTGGCGCTGTGGCTCAAGTGGTAGAGTGCTAGCCTTGAGCTGAAGAGCTGAGGGACAGTGCCCAGGCCCAGAGTTCAGGCCCCATGACCGGACCCCCCCCCAAAAAAATAATAAAAGGAGCTGGGCACCAATAGCTCATGCCTTTAATCCTAGCTACTCAGAAGGCTGAGATCTGAAGACATGGTTTAAAGCCAAACCAGACAGAAAAGTCTATAATTCTGCTCTCCAACCACCAAAAAGCCAAGAGTGGAACTGTGGCTCAAGTGGTAGAGCACCATCCTTGAGCACAAAAGCTAAGAGACAGCACCTAGGTCTTGAGTTCAAGCTCCCAAGAAATAATTATTAATACATATAAGTATTAATCATATTATTTACAATAAAAAGGAAACTCCCATGTTAGCTCTTTTCTCTTAATTCCAGCCCCTGTATTCTCTTCACTTTTAACACATAAGGTTCCCATTCCTCATTCCATGTTCTCTAGCTTTCATGGCAAATGTTCCTCCAGGTCTTTATGGCTAGTAAAGCATCTGGACCACGGTTTCAAACCCACTTCTCCATCTCCCCAGTTAGAATAATCCCTTGATGGGAAGCCTCTTTCTGCAGAGCTCAATGGACCCATGCTGCATCTGACAGAAAGGCTAGCAACAACCTCAGCCTCTGCAGGGCTTGGGTACCTATTCCCAGCTTGCATTTCCTAAGATGTTCATGGCAGAAGCAGCACCTGGACTGTTCGGTAAGGGAGCAGTCCTAACCTGATTCCTTCTAGTTCCAGGACGATCCCATGTCTACTGGAGTCTGGGTTCTTTTGGATTTTCCTTTCCCACCTTATTTTTTTCTCACGCATCAGGCTGGCAAAGGCATCTGTGGACAGAGAAGTTTTTGCAGTCAGTGCTCTGGGACAGAAGCACACACACACACACACACACACACACACACACACACACACAAAGAGCGGCCCAAGGACACAGGGACAGACAACTGTGAGAGGCTCTTGGTCCCCCGCCGGGGGTGTGGCCGAGGCGGGACGGGGCCCGCCCGGGGCTGGGCGGAGGGGGGTGGCTGGTGGTGGAGAGGAGAGGTGGCTTCTTCCCTCCTCCCGTCACCGCGCCCCGGGAAGCGGGGTAAGATTTCAGAGAATCCCAGCCAGGCAGAACCGGAGCTGGGCAAAGGAAGCCGGTGGGAAGGGTGCCGGGGTACCCCGGGGAGCGGGTGACAGCGGCGAGCTGCCCGGCGGGGCCGGAGCGCGGGCGCGGCACGGCACGGCGGTGGGGCCCCGGGGCACGGCGGCCAGCGGAGGCCGCGGGTGGCCGAGCCGCGCCCCCCCCGCCCCGCGCCCTCCCACCCCAGGAAGCCGGCGCACCACCCGCTCGCGGCCGGCCCCCGCACTCACCCCGGGGCCCGGCTTGGCCCGCAGCCCGGTGCCTGCCTGGCGGCGGCCGCCGGCCCCTCCCCTCCCCTCCCCTCCGCCCTCCGCCGCCCTCTGCGGGCGTGCGAGCGGGCGACCGACAGGCGACTGCGGCCGGCGGGCGCGGGCGGGGCGGGCACAGGAAATCCCCGCCCGCTTCCGGGGCTCGGCGGGGGGGAGGAACGGGGGGGGAGGGTGCTAAAGAGGGGGTGGGTAACGAGGAACGAATAGCGGGGTCGTGGCTCGGGCCATCCATCGGAGCCGTGGACCTCGATGCCCGGGATGCGGCGGATCCCCGACCTGCCGCGGACGGTGGTGGCCGTGCGCTTCCCACACGTGGACCATCTTCCAGGCCGGCCACGGAGCCTCCCAGCGGGGCTCTCCGCAGGAAGCTCCGTTCATCACCTTGGATTTGGTACGCGCTGGCGACAGGCCCGAGCGTGGCCGTGAGGGCCACGCGTGGGATGGTGCCAGACGCTTAGCTGCTTAGGCTGCGTGTCTCGCCCCCTGGCACCGTCTGTGAGGCCCCCGGGCTTGCGTGCAGCGAGTGAGGCAGGGGATGTGCGGGGTGACTTGCCCAAGATGGTGCTGTCGCATTGCCCACCACACACACACACACACACACACACACACACACACACACACACACACACACACACACACACACACACACGCGTGGCCCCGTGAGCTCTTCAAATGTGGCTTGTCGGAAGACTGTGTGCGACACCACGTTTAGAAGACTTAATTTGAAAAAAAAAAGAAAAACATGGGAAAGAGCTCCTGAGTAATATTTGGAACTGAATTTGGAATTGACATCACCTACTACTTTTAGCTTTTTTTTTTTTTTTTTTTTTTAATGCAGCTACTAATCATTCTAATTACAGATGGGGCTTGCATTGTGTTTCTGTTGGACAATGCTCCCCTGCAGCATTCGAGTGCTTTGCCAGTCGACTGGCAAAGACGAGAAAGGCCTACAAAACATCAGCCCAATCCTGGGGTCTCCTTGTTAGAATCAGTTTATATTTAGAAATCATGTGCATTATTTCATGGTCACAATAAAAATCGTAATAAGCAGAGGCAAAATAGAAAACTAAACCGTGGTCTGGCTTCTGATCTGATGCTCCAGTCTCCAGAGAGGTTCCTTACCTTTCACAGTTCAAACTCCTAGGCAATATTTCAAGATGGCATAATTAAATACATGGATAATCACAGGGACAGAGGACTCTATCTTTTTTAAGATTTGGTGGGGGAGGGAGTTTTAGGATCAGCTTAGAAGGTGAATGATAATAAAGGACATCATCCCAAGGCAGCTCAGAAGGCAGAAAGGGGTATGCTCTTGCATATGAACTTCCTATCTGTAAAGTAGAGAAGAAATAAAATTGGAAAACTAATAGAAAGAATGGCAGGACAAGAATTTTTATTTGCAATGACAGGTGATGAAGTGTTCCCCTCTCTGTGTTTATAAGGAAGGGACAGCTCTGATGGTTCTAATTATAGCTTCACCAGGAAGCCGGATGGTCCCCGGCTGCCCTATTAAGGAACATCTAGTAGAGAGAAAGAAAGACTTGGGCCCACACGTAGATTCTAATGTGTAGAAGACACCATTTCTTAGAACACAGCAGTGTTCCTCCCCAGCATCAGAGAGATGTCTCAAATAGGGTTTCAGGTTCTCCACAAAAGTTCAAAATACCTTCAGAGACTTTTTTTTTTTAGGGGGGGGGAATATATCAGCCTTGACTCCTTTCTTTCTGGATTCCTGTTCCATCATGACTTAAAAAAGGAAGTAAAATGCAAGTGTTCACCACTTTAAGGGAAGTGTTGGAAAAGGATTATTAGTCAGTTGATTGTAATGAATTATAGTATAGCCTTTAAATGTCTGTTCAGACATATGAAACTATGCCTTTGGTTACTAACTACCTAATGACCTAACCACCATCTCTCTCTATATTTTAAAGTTGTTTTTGATTTTGCTGGATTTGGGATTTGCACTTAGTGCTTAGCACTTGCTCAGTCTGCTTACTTAGCTTGTCTCCTATGCTTGTCTCCAGACTGCCTTTCTGCTGGTTATTTTGGAGATGGAGTCTCAAGGACTGATTGGGCTATCCTCAAACCATGATTCTCTGGATCTCAGCCTCCTGAGTAGCTAAGTTTACAGGTATGGGCCATCGGAACCTGGTTTCACTCAAAAGTTTTAAGGCTTTGTATAAGAGATGAATTTCCTACAGTCATCAGTGAAGACTGTTGCTTCTTGTATGTCCACAGTTATAAGGAAAGGGGAAGGCTGAGGAAAGTCTTGCATTAGGACTCCTGAGGCGAGAAAGGCTCTCTAGTCATTAGCAAATATGTATTTGCTGACATTTATAGGGCACTTTATATATTGCAGTGTCTTTGTGTATATGTGATCATCCTAACTCAAGGAGGTAAATTATCTGTATCCTTAGTTTAGTGTCAAGAAAATAGAGGTCAAAGCTAGATGTTGATGGCTCATACATGTACTCACTAATCAAGAAACTGAGACCTAGACAACTGTGATTTAAAGCTAGCCTAAGTAGAAAAGTCTGTGAGAATCTAACTCCAATTAACTAGGAAAAAGTAGAGCTGTAGATATGGCTCAAGTGGTAAGAGCACCAACTGTGTAAGCAAACCAAGCAAGTATGAAGCCTTGACTTCAAACCCTGGTATTATCAGAAAAGAAAGGAAAGAAGTAAGAAGTAAGGAAGTGTGAGAGTCCCCAAAAGCTGAGCTGTGAGACCTGAAAGGATTGGGAGGGTGGAATGCCTCCTCCCAACATGAACCCTCAGAACACTGAGTTTCCTGGAAAGTTCAGTCAGTCCTCGCTTGATGTGAATTCAGATTTCTATCTTGGGTGTAGGTTAATTCCACACCAAACTTTCTGGGAACTTGAGGACAGACAAAAATCAATGCTAACTGTAAGTCATGCACTACTTACACCTGCTTCTTGAGTAAGAGTATACCACATGATTGATGCTTGTGACTTCAAGGATATTGTGACCTCACATACCTTCCTGTACTCCACTCAATAAATATCTTGTAAAATGGACCCAAGGACCTGAAGCTGGAGGAAGGCTTCAATCCCTGGTGCCCAAACCTCAATTCCACAGTCTGGTGTCCATTACTGTCTTGTCCATGGTCTCAGAGGGCTGTGACAACGTAGGAAAGGAAGGAGAAGGAAGAGGAAAAGGAGCTTTCAGTCATGTTGTGATGATGTAAGGAAGCCCTTACAAGATGCTGAGAAGATTCTGTACCATCCAGCCTCCAGGATAATGAGTCAAATAAACTTCTGCTCTTTACAATTTACCTAGACTCAGCTATTTTATTATGGAAACAGAAAATGGGGCATGTGTTTAAAAATGGTACCAACAGTGGAGTTGTTTCACAAATACCTGAAAATATCAGAGTGACTTTGGAACTCAGTAGTGGTAAAGGTTAGAAAATTTTTGAGTTGAAAGCTAGAAAAAGCCTTTGCTGCTCTGAGCAGAGTTGCAAGGGCAATTCTGGTAAAGGCTTAGAAAGACTGAAAGTCTGGAATTTCTCAGATATTACCTAAGTGGTTGGAGCCAGAATATGGACCCATAAAGGCCATTATGGCAAAATGGAACTGGAAAGAGGGTATTGGAAACGAATAAAGACTCTGGCTGCAAAGACTCTGGCTACATTGTGTTAAGACCTTGGGACTATAGAATGTGGAACGTAAGAGAGATAAACTTATATAAACGAAGGTATCTAGCAGAAGAAATTTCTAAGCAACAAAACATCCAGGCTGCTATGCGACTACTTCTAAAGGCTCACAGTGAAAGGAGAGAGCCAAGGGATAACTTGAAGACAGAATTTTTTATTAAAAAGGAAGCAGAGTAGAAAGAGTTGGGAAATTCTCAACCTGATCATATGGTAGATGATGAAAGAGAATTTTCAAAAGTGAGAACACTAAGGGTATACCTGAGCAACCAATCTCTAAGGTTACTATGAGAAAAAAAAAATCAGCAAGAGAATGAAAGAAAAAAAAAATAGAATTTCTCAGAAATTACCTAAGTGGTTGGAGTCAGAATGCTGGTAGAAATTTGAACTCATATAGACATGGTCTCTGCATTTCAGAGACTGCAGACTCTGCACCATTCATCATAGGTATGGAAGAATAAGAGGGCAGATGTTTGGGAATGGGTCTGAAGAGCCCATCCTGGGCTTACTGACCAGTACCACCCCGTCTGTTCCCCACATTGCAGCACAGTGCTCCTCCATCTGAAGCTTGAATGGCCTCAAATATGACTCAACTTGATGCTCTACAGGACTCAAGTTATAAACTTGATACCCAAGTGCTGTTAATTCTACATGGAGCAGTTTGGCAAATCTTGGTGGAAAGGCCTTGGGTTCAATCTCAATCATTGGTGTATGACCCTCAAGAGAACTGATAGTGACTATGAGAATATTTTTGTATTTTTGCAAGTGATTCAATCATACTTGCTCATACTTGTCTGCTTAGATAATTGTCCATGTGGATGAAGTCACCAGAAATGATGACAGGTAATGGAGTTGCTAATGAAAGGAGAATGACAGGCAATGTCTGAAAGGGTTTGATGGCATGTGGTTCAAAGCAACTGGACATAATTTAGGGAAGAAGAAAATCTGAACTTAGGACAACAATAAGAGAAAAAAGAACACATTCTACTTCTAAACTTAGGTGGAGTAAACCAGTGGCTTTCAAATGTGTGCATGTAGGTGTGTGTGTGTGTGTGTGTGTGTGTGTGTGTGTGTGTGTGTGTGTGTGTGTGTGTGTGTGTTGTGTGTGTTTGAGATCCATATTATGATGTAGAAAGAAATATATTTCACATTGTAATCTAGGTAACTCATCACATTTCTATTTTTGGAATAACTTAAAGGAGAATTGGTATTAATTAGCCTGTCCTGTATGAAGTTCCTGTCATTGTCTTTTTTAGTAAGTTGATTAATTTTTCTTTTGATTAGGTAGGATACTAAGATTTTACTATTCATGTGGGTTTAAATAACCT